TATAAGGATATAATGGCGCCTTTTATGTTTGGCGTTTTCTGCGGAAGAACGTTCCTTAATGAGCACATGATGACAATTCTCACCTAGATTGCACTATGAAATATACACCTTAACTGCAGACCTAAGAGCTTTACTAATTAGAATTCAGGTTGTTATAAAAGTTGGTGCTATTCCAGGAAGGAAACTTGTGACAGATATGGCTAGGAACCTGTATTACCACTGCACCCTCCCCTATCTTCATCTTGAGCAATACCCTCAGAGGCACATAGGAAGCTGCCTTCTACTGAGTCAGACCATTGCTTCATCTAGCTCAGTACTGTCCATACTGGGTTGTAGCATCTCTCCAGGGTTTCAGACAGGGCTCTGCTTTCTCAGCTGAAGATGCCAGGAGTTGAACCAAGAACCTTTCATGGGCAGAGCAGGTGCTCTACCCCTGAGCAATGGCTCTTCCTTCATGACTCAGTCACAAACAGAGTTCATATATTGGAAAGCAGACTCTGTGGAACCTCTTTCCACCTGTGTTGCTTGTTTTGGGTAGCTTTTAGTCAGCCAATTTGGATATACTTGTACGGTGAATGAGGACTGCAAATGCTGTTTACAGATTGTTTGGAATAATCCTTCTGGAATGTTCCCTGCAGTGTAGCCAAGCTTGCTTGCTTGGTTCAGCTTTTCTATAGCACTGGACCTGCAATTAAAGTCCTGCTCTATTTCTGCATTTTACTTCCTGATTTCCTCTCCTCCTTGTCACATGATTCCCTGTCTCACAGCCTCTCTCTTCCATCCTAGTCTTTGCTTTTTCCTCATGTTGGCTTCCTAATGCCTTCCTTCCTTTGCCTTCCTTGCTCCTGCAGCCTCTCCATAGGAGCCAGCTCCTAGGGGCTGAGGTTCCTCCGGCCCCTCCAATAAAATATTAGAGGGGGCTGCCCCTAGTTGATAGGCATTGCCATTCAAATGGTGCGCCCAGGAAAGTTTGGCAGGGGAACTGACTGTACATAGAAACATTGGTGGAAGTGCCTGGGGACCAGAAAAATGTCCACTTTGCTCCAAGAAGATGGAGCAAAAGGAAGCACCGAAGGCAGAGAAAGCTTGTCTTCTTCACAAAATAATTAAAGGTAAAGGTAAAGGTACCCCTGCCCGTACGGGCCAGTCTTGACAGACTCTGGGGTTGTGCGCCCATCTCACTCAAGAGGCCGGGGGCCAGCGCTGTCCGTAGACACTTCCGGGTCACGTGGCCACCATGACAAAGCTGCATCTGGCGAGCCAGCGCAGCACACGGAACGCTGTTTACCTTCCCGCTGGTAAGTGGTCCCTATTTATCTACTTGCACCCGGGGGTGCTTTCGAACTGCTAGGTTGGCAGGCGCTGGGACCGAGCGATGGGAGCGCACCCCGCCGCGGGGATTCGAACCGCCGACCATACGATCGGCAAGTCCTAGGCGCTGAGGTTTTACCCACAGCGCCACCCGCGTCCCTCCCCACAAAAGAATTATGTATGCCTAATAATGACAGCAAATTGGCACAACTACATAGGAAAAGTAGCTGATCTCTATGAAAATCCAGGTGCAAAGTCCAATTTAAGGACCAAAAATGCCAACTTAACTACAATACATGCTGCAGAACAGTGAATATCTGAAGAAGAAAAAGGTTTCCCATCATATTTTTTTTAAAGCCTAACGAGGAAAAATAATTGCGGGTGTTTCCATGCTAGCGTTTCCAGTGGGATCATTGCACCTTGTGCATGGAAGATTTCCTGCAGCATCCACATAAAATGGTTGTTGTCAGAATGGCAACCCACACCACTCCCCCCCCCCAATAGTAATAATAATCTGAATTTACCCTTTCCAGGGAAAATCTAATAAATTAAGAAAATAAAAAACTTGTTGCGAGCGACCCACTTATGGGACCTCAGGACTGCTTACTGTATTAAGTGTCTTTCTGCAAACACCCTGGATAATGTGAGGATTTTGGAAGTGAGAGTGGTGTGGGATTCAGGGAAATGGAACATGGCCTATGGGGAAGGAGGTTACACTGAATGGAATGCAGGCATTGCTCAGTCTCAGGTGTTTATGAGGGATAAGAGAGAGAAAGAGGGCCTGAGAAGAATGCAAGCAAAAGGAGCTTTTTTTTTGCCCAGCTTCAGCTGCTCAGCTATGCAAATCACGTAGCCCATGCAAATCAGGCTGTCATGCGACCCATGTGTGTATGTGCATATGGAACACATAGATCAAGGTTGGGACAGATCTCTACGCTTGCTCTCCCCTCCCCAGTATGTTCTCACTAATACACATCAGGAAAAGGCTTGAGGTAATTGGCAGCTAAGATACATATAGAATTATTATTTTTAAAGGTGGAGATATACCAAATGTGAAGACAAAAAAGCCTCCAAGAACGATACATGTGCATGTTATTAATAGAGTAGACCAGGGGAATCATTGTAAAATGATCCGATTTACTGTGATACTGAGAATAACACAGAGACGTATTCTAAACAGTTATGTTTCTGTTGAGCAGAGATGCCAAAGGAAAATGTGAAACAACCCAGCCACGTGACAGAGTTTACTGGGAGTTTTGCTGGAGCACATACATATTACGCCTTTATCTGTTACATTGCCAAGAACACTTCAGCATGTGAAAAACACCATACAGCTTGCTATAGAGAATTTGAAAATGAATACACATTTTGCAATATTGCTTAGCAAAATATTTCTGGTAGCTTAATTGTTATGAAAGATTACGTATCTTTTGTATTTTGTGATATTTCAATTATTTTGTTACTATTGGTGTATATATTTGATGTAAACATTGTTGAGGCTTGCATGACATAAAGCAGTGTATATGAACGAAGAACATTCAATGCTTCATTTATTTAATTGCCTCCAATGAGGCACCTTTATTTCTATATTTATACCACACCTCTCCTGTTCAAGCTAGTGAACATTATTTATGCTCTTCCCATTTTATCCTCACAACAGTCTAACTTTGAGGAAGGTTAGAATGAGTGACAGTGACTGGCCAAAGGACACCAGCGAGCTTCATGGCCGGGTGGAGCCATGAACTGATTTAAAATACAATCAAAACATGTACAGAACAATTATATATGAAAACCATTTAAAAAACCACACACCCACACACATACATAATCTAAAGCAACAATAACAACACATGTATGAAACCAATTCAAATCCAATAGAGATGTGCCTACTGGATTACTGGGCCACATGCAACATGCAAACTCCATTTTTTCCGGCAGTCCCAAGGAGGCTAGGAAACAGGAAGTGGCTCCTGGGTCCCTCATGCCTCCTTCACACATGTCCCTCAGCATGTCCAGTGTGGGGAAACTAGTCGCGCTGCCCTAAATCTGGCACTGGCTTGCAACCATCAGTGCCAGGGAGCAGAAGGCTAGGCAAGAGCTGCCCTCAGGTCCCCGGGGCAGTAGAGACCCAGCAGTGATGCTGCCACTGCTTTTGAGTTGGGGGTGCTCCTCATTATCTCTGTTGTGCACGGGTCAAGGGGTTTGCTGGAGAACGGGGAGCAGTGAGGTAGGGAGCAGCAGCAGAGGTTTGAGGTGACCACGGTAGGTAGATCTTGGCTGTGCAGAAAAACCTGTCTGGTGGGGGCAAACTTGGGCTTCTGATTTTAGATTTTTTTTGGGGGGGGATTTTTAAGATCCCCACCTCTAATGCCTCTCACATCAAAAGCACACATAAACACATACAGTGGTACCTCAGGTTACATAAGCTTCAGGTTACATATGCTTCAGGTTACAGACTCCGCTAACCCAGAAATATTACCTCAGGTTAAGAACTTTGCTTCAGGATGAGAACAGAAATCATGCTCCGGCGGCACGGCGGCAGCCAGTGGCGTAGCGTGGGGGGTGCAGGGGGTGCCAGCCGCACCGGGTGCAACATCTGGGGTTAGGGCAAATCCACAGGTTAGGGGGCGCAAATCCACGGGTTAGGGGGCGCAAATTACTTGCCTTGCCCCGGGTGCTGACAACCCACGCTACGCCACTGGCGGCAGCAGGAGGCCCCATTAGCTAAAGTGGTGCTTCAGGTTAAGAACAGTTTCAGGTTAAGTACAGACCTCCGGAACGAATTAAGTACTTAACCTGAGGTACCACTGTATAGGTAAGGAAAAGGGAACTCACGGTGGACAGGGAAGGGTATATTCCAAACTGCAACAGTGTGGGGAGAGATGATGTGGTGACCATGGATTTGGGGTCACTTTGTCTGCATTCGGATCTCCCTGGTTGGGATTTCAGGGGTTGGATTCTCTCACACACCCCAATCTTGGGTTCTCCTGCATTTTCATGTAGTGCATCTCTATCTATCTATCATCTATCTATCTATCTATCTATCTATCTATCTATCTATCTATCTATCTATCTATCTATCATCTATCTATCTATCTATCATCTATCTATCTATCATCTATCTATCTATCTATCTATCTATCTATCTATCTATCTATCTATCTATCTATCATCTATCTATCTATCTATCATCTATCTATCTATCTATCTCTATCTATCTATCTATCTATCATCTATCTATCTATCATCTATCTATCTATCTATCTATCTATCTATCTATCTATCTATCTATCTATCCATCCATCATCTATCTATCTATCTATCTATCTATCTATCTATCTATCTATCATCTATCTATCTATCATCTATCTATCATCTATCTATCTATCTATCTATCTATCTATCTATCTATCTATCTAGGAACCACCCTAGGAACCACATCCATTTGTTTAATGAATAAATATATTGAATCTATTAGTTGTTTAATTATATATATTTAAACATATTTGTATATTAAATAATATTAACTACATTGCAAAACACTTTCATGAACAATATGGAAATTTAATTCAGTGTGTGACCTGTGGGTTCTGTCTTGAAGGACTCTTGCAGCCCACTTGGTCTGAGGGGGTTGGACTGCCCTGACTTAGAGGGCTTGTTGAAAGAGGAAGGACTTGTGTTTCAGGAAATGTAAATTACTTCATCTGGCTTTATGGCACTGAAGTCTGCGTGTTTCAAGTATTCCGCATGCTGGCAGCATACACTGTTCCTTCCTGCCCAAGGGCCATAGTAGGCGGAGTTCAGAGGCTACATATATGGAGCAGCAGCAATACCTTTGAATGCAGTTTGCCTGTTAATCTGTTGTTAAGCATTGCTGATGACAGTGGCGCTACGACTTCCCAAGAATGGGGACCGCAGCCGAGAAGGTAAGGAAAATAACTTCTCACAATTTGTTTTATCTTTATATTTTGTTTTATCTGGGGAGTGGGGTGGGTGGGTGGGTGGGGGGTGCATCTAACTCCTCCCTGGATCTGAATAGTCTGAAAATGCCCATGTTCAAACAACTTTTGGAATGTATGTCTGATGTAGTAGCAGGCATGGTTTTGCTTCGGGGAGAGTTTTAATGAAGCAACTGGTTCCTGCTCTGTGAGATAAAGGTGTGCCTCTGCACCATTTGATTCTGAAAGGTACAAGCATGGGATTTGGTTTGAAATGAAAGGAACTGTTTAAAACTAATACACATTTATTAGGTTTATTAACAATGGCAGCAGGGGGTTTATTAACAACATGTTGTTTTTCAAAAGTATATGAAAAGGAAGACAATTTGACAGTTCAGGAGCTACAGGAAAAAAATAGCAAAAAGTCTCGTGGCACCTTAAAGACAACCAAATTTTATGTCATAAGCTTTTGTCACTGGCTGTACTTTTGCATTTCAAGGCCATTTAGCTTTGACATTTCTCTCTCTCTGTCTGTCTTTCTCTACCCATTTAGAGAAGATATACAACTGGGGATCACATGTGCTCATGTTAGGGATGTGCAGAACCTACTTGCGGAATTCTGTTGGCAGTTTGGTTTCTCAATTCTAGCAGAAATTATGGTTGCCAGTTTGACACATTTTGGATGCATACCAATTCATTCATTATCAAGACGAAAGATCTATCTAGTCCAGCATCTTGTAATCGCAGTGGCAAGTCATACCCTAGATCTAAGGTCATATATTTTTATTTATTTTATTTATTAAATTTGTATAGTGCTTTAGACCCACAGGTCTCAGAGTGGTCACAACATAAAATCACAATATAAAAACACAAAATACATAATAAAAACAAAAAGAACCCAATTAACGCCCCCATCCTATCCATCCAGCCATCAGACTATCGTTTTATTTGTATGCTGCCTTTCTGTAGTTAAAACCACGCTGAAGGTGGCTGTTAACATGAAAAAGCTACAAACATAGCAAAAGTAGTCAAATAGAAAATCAGGAAATGAATTCAAAAGTAATACGGTTCCATCTTAATTAGCCTAAAAACCAATTATTTTAATGCTAGTACTAAGTGCACCAGGATGCTAATAAAATGGGAAATGATGTAACTTACCAGCATCAATGTGGGTCATAGACATCACACATTTCAAGAGCAAGACATGTCGGGAGCAGCCTGGGTGTTGATTGCTTTTTTGCAGATCAGAGATTAGGTACAGAAGATAACACTTGGGGAAGAGGTCAGGGAGGACACTGACAACGAAGAATGTGGATGAGATAGGAAGTATTTTTGAACCTTCTTTGAATCCAGTTTGATGCATACCTGCCCCATGCGCTGAATCCTCGTGTGCGCATGTGTACTGAAAGCCATCACCACATAGAAAGACTTCCAAGAACAGATGTGCTGAACAGAGAATGCTGGCAGTACTGAGCACCCTTCTGGTTGGTGTGGGTATCTCTTGGATTCCAAACCCCCCTCCCATCCAGTTACTGGAATGTCAGGTCTGATCATTGTCAATGCTCTGAATGAGGGGACAGACGTAATATAACAGGGATTGCCATGCACACAAGCCTGGATGTTGGGTCGTGTGCTTATTTCCACTGGGAACATTGTCTGTGTGTCGCAAGGTGTTTGTGTTGGAAGGAGGCTTCCTTACATAAGTCACCCTTGCTGGATCAGGCAAATGTGGATTAAAGGTGCTTATCAGAGTTACCTTGGCATCCTCAGTTGGGAGTCCTTTACGGAACTAAAGAATAGGACATGCCATTGCAGCAATAAGAACAGCAACAACAGCAACAACTCTTTAAAGCCCTAAAAGGCCTGGCCCAGTATACCAGTTTCTACCCCCATCTTTCAGCCAGGACACTGAGGTCCAGCTCCAAGGACCTTCTGGCGGTTCCCTCACTGCAAGAAGTGAGGTTACAGGGAACCAGGCAAAGGGCCTTCTTGGTAGTGGTGCCCACCCTCCCATCAGATGTGAAGGAAATAAACAACTATCTGAAGACATCTGAAGGCAGACCAGTTTAGGGAAGTTTTTAATATTTGGTATTTTATTGTGTTTTTAGTATTCTGTTGGGAGCCACCCAGAGTGGCTGGGGAAACCCAGCCAGATGGGTGGGGTATAAATAAATTATTATTATTATTATTATTATTATTATTATTATTATTATTATTAGCAGTGTCAGCATTTGAGTCCCTGTTTGAGACACAGCAGCTGGGTTTATAGCGTCTGTAGCTACAGCACACTAATGAGTAGTTACCTAGAAAAGACTTAGTGATCTATTTGGGTGTGTACAGATGTTCCTTTAAACACCTCCCCCCTTTCAGGTGAGCCCAACAGCTCTCTCCTTCACACTGAATCCCACAAATAGACCCACCAGCAATTCAAAAACCCCACCCCACCCCTAATGCTTCAGGCAAACTGTTTCATGTTAATGCACTGCATGGATACTTTATAATGTTCATTTGTTGCTTGTTTATTTCTTGCAACCACGTTGCAAAACGGATTTGGGTGGGCAGAAGTGGGAAAAGCAGGCTTGGGATGCTGCAGTCACATGTGGACCAGCACTGCTGCTGTAAAGCTATCGGAAGTGATGTCCACAGAGCCTGGCCCGGCAGGAGGTGAGGTCCCATAAGCATATTTCCTGATCAAACGAACACAACATTTGGATGCCCTTAATATCTGTGAATATCCCAGACAGAGTTGTTGTCCAAAGAGACATGGATTGCATTCAGGCCAAGCCCTTCCCCCGCATTAGTCATTTGCTGTAGGAACAGTGCCTTAATATATATTTTAAATATACGATTCAAGCCATTGGAGACATGGACAGAGTTAATTGCATGCTTGCTCGCTCCAAAGGGTTCATTAGCAACGCTTTCCTCCACTGCTCCTTGACCCAACGCACACCACGTTCAGCATTATGCCTTGTCACAAAGAAACGAGTGCCCAGTAGTCAGGGACACTTAAGCTTGCGTTTGCCAGTAACTGAAAGAAGTGTGGTTTTGTTGTTGAGAAAGTCGGTTACTAAAGCAGGCTTCCCTCTTTGCAAAGGAAGTGGGCACTTCGCCCTCTGTTTCCTGAAGCATCTCTGCAAGAGGATCAACCCTGTACTTTTATGAGCAGAGGGTGCAGGATGCTGTGGCTCAGCAGCCATTCAGAGTATGTACTAGGGAGGGAATAGTGACAGGAGAAGCTATGTAGGAGCAGACTGGATAGCAGTGGGAGACAGGAAAAACTTTGAAGCAAATGTATCCACAGGCCACACTCTCCCCTCTCTTAGCCACTGGGCATGGAAAGGACATGAAAAAAAAGAAAACACGTTAAGGAAAGAAACGTATTTTTGTGTTTTGATTTTGTTGTTGCAAACACATAGCTTAAGAGTTACATAACTGGGGTGACTAGAGCTTACTGTAAAACACATTTGCATAGTGCTGTTATTACCAAAGCTTAATTGTATACCAAGAACACACGCAGATGGATGATGCCTCTAGACATCTTTGCTGCCAGAGTTTTCTGGCTTTTCAGAAAACACAGTTAATTTAAAACACGGCGTCTCACTTTGTGCCTCAGCAAACTTGGCAGTATGGTATTCCTGCTGCCAAGACCAGCCTGCCCTTGGGCAGAGCTCAGGCAATTGTGTTTGGGTGGCATGGAAGGGCAGCAAATAGTTCCTTATATAATTAATTATTGTTTCATTTTTACTCACGAGAGATGCACCTGTAGGATTTTCTGCCTCGGGTCCCAAAAGAACTTGGGTGCTATGCAGCTTGGCTTGTGTGTGTAGAGAACCCTTTGCTTTGGGCTGCAAAATGTTTTGCCAGCCCCGGCTCCTGTTCAGGGTGCCAGCTAGCCAACCAGCCTCTTCCAGGGATATTTCTTTCCAACCACCCCCTGCTTCTTTCCGTTTTCTCCACCAAAGTCAGCCAGCATTTTCGGCCACTTAACATGCTCAGTCTTCCTGGCCTGTTTTTGAGTGCCCCATTTTATTTTATTTTTCTCCCCCAAGGCTGCCAGTTCCTCTCTCTTGTGCATGGATAGTGGCATCTGGAACAGCTTGCTCAGTGGTGCTGGAGCTGCAGCAATATAAGCTCCTGATTACCGTCTGTGTGTGTGTGTGTGTGTGTGTGTGTGTGTGTGTGTCTGTATTGAGGGTGGCAGTGACAGGGAGGTTGGGATTGTGTGGATCCACTAACAGGACCACTGTGCAGTGTCTGCACCCCCCCCAACCTCACTGCTGCTTTGATCTCTCTTCATGTAATGTTGTTATGGACCATGTTGAGGGCTTGTAGAATATTCATTTCATGATGATGAAAATTGTTGTTAGCAGTAAGCCCAAGCTTGCTCAGAAAGCTCCTGAAATTGCTTATTCCTGATCAATTGCTAAATAATAGCTATGGTGTAGTGCAGGCATCCCCAAACTCAGCCCTCCAGCTGTTTTGGGACTACAATTCCATCATCCCTGACCACTGGTCCTGTTAGCTAGGGATGGTGGGAGTTGTAGTCCCAAAACAGCTGGAGGGCCGAGTTTGGGGATGCCTGGTGTAGTGGTCAGAGTGCCAGATTAGGACCCACTTGGCCATGAAGCTGCCTGGGTGAGCGTGGGCCGGTCATTGGTTCCCAGACTAACCCATCTCACAGGGGTGTTGTGTGGATTAAAAGAGGACAGAGGGGTGTAAAGAACCATGTGCACCATCCCGAGCTTTCTGGAGAAAAAGGTGGGATATAAATGCAGTTAACAAAAAAATTATATAAATGCAGTTAACAAAAAAAATGCAGTTAACAAAAAAAAAAAGGGGGACGCGGGTGGCGCTGTGGGTAAAACCTCAGCGCCTGGACTTGCCGATCGTCAGGTCGGCGGTTCGAATCCCCGCGGCGGGGTGCGCTCCCGTTGTTTGGTCCCAGCGCCTGCCGACCTAGCAGTTCGAAAGCACCCCCGGGTGCAAGT